GTTCTTGCATGAGGCCCATTGTTATTTCTCATCATAGGGGTCTTTGGGCTGCACTGTCTGATCCCTCTTCTAGGACCTGTTTGCCATGGGTGACGCTACCGGAGGCATGAAGCCCCTGAAAACATGGCTCCTATAGGATCATTGGGGCACTCAAACCTCTCCACCACGATAAGGTGGCAGCCCAGGGAGAGGTGTGRGTAATCTAATTTCAGTACAAATACAGCTGCTCCGTGACAGCCTCACAGGTTGGTCAAGAGAATATTGAGGAGCAAACAGCAGCATGAAGTCCAAAGAACACACCAAACAGGTCAGGAATTAGGTTCTGGAGAAGAAGTAGAGCAGACTTAGGCTATAAAAAGATTTCCCAAACTTTGAACATTTCACAGAGCACAACTGTAAACCTAGACTACCCAAACTTACAGGCCAAGCAAGGAGAGCGCTGATCAGACCAAYAGGCCCATGGTGACTTTGGACGAAATGCAGAGATCCACAGCTCAGTTGGGGGAATCTATCCAATAAGAAAGCKATTATTAAAAGAAAACCAAATGAAGTCCCGACGAGACCAAATTTGAACTTTTTGGCCAAAATGCAAAATGCTTTATTGTGGCAAAGAATTAGCACTGCACATCACTCAGAACACCATCCCCACTGTAAAATAGTGGTGTCAGCATCATGCTCTGTGGGCTGCTTCTCTTCAACAGGGACAGGGAAGATGGTCAGATCCGATGGAAAGATGGATGGAGCCAAATACAAGGCTATCTTGGATGAAGTTGGAGTCTGCAAAAGACGAAACTGAGGCGGAGGTTCACCATCCAGCAGGACAACCCTAAACATAAAGCCAGCTCTACAATAGAATGGTTTAAAACAAAACACAYTCATGTGTTAGAATGGCCCAGTCAAAATCCAGACCTAAACCCGATCCAGAATTTATGGAAAGATCTGAAAACTGCTGTTCAGAAACGCTSTCCATCTAACCTGACTGAGCTTCTGTTTAACAAAGAAGAATGGGCAAAATGTTTAGTCACTTGATGTGTAAAGCTGGTGGAGACATTCTTTAACACTTTGTAATGGTCGTTCATAGGAGGAGAGCTAGCTTAGCATAAACCATGTGCTACGGTACAGCTCCGAAATGAGCGACAGCTTTTTGGTTCCCACATGTACAGAACTTGAAACCATACAAAGCCAGGTCTCCATGGCACTAAATCTACA